AAAGCCTTAGAAATGGCTTTATAACCCTTTCCAGACTGATACATGTCAACCGTTTTGATTCTCATCTGTTCTTGAATTTCTTTAGATCGCCGCATGATGTGTTGCTCTTTAAGCATGCTTCACTTCGTCAGACAGGTTCTATTTAAGTGATTTATTGATTCAAAGGGTCTGGTAGTAATCAGGCCTGGGTGTGGCTAGTGAAATTTAACTCAGCTTTCTAAAATAATGTGGTTAATCACAGTTCTTTCATGATTAAACAGGAGGGGGAAATTAATTTTTCACGTATGGCCAGGTAGGTTTGGACAGCTTTTTTCCCTTAATAAATGAAATCATCATTTAAAATCTGCATTTTGTATTTACTTGCATTATCTTTGTGTAATATTAAAATTAGTTTGATGATCTGAATCTTTTAAGTGTGACAAAAATTTAAAAAACCGGAAGGGGGTGAAAACTTTTTCACGGCACTGTACTTCACCACACTTTCAGAGCACAGTCGAATAAAACACAAATCTATAAATAAATAGGCTACACGTCAACCTAAGTAGGTGTTTTTCACTGTAAAATAGTTTTTTTTTTTGTTATTGTGTGGAGGTTGGGTTTCATAAAGGCAGGGCTGGATGGGTGAATAATAATATGAATGTTAATGGGAGGAACTTTTTTTCACTCATTTTTCCTTTAAACCTACAGGGAAATGCCATTACCATATCAAACCCTGCACAATCCGACTCCACACTCAATACGATGGTACAGTTCACAATTGGGTAGTAAACTGTAAACCACACCATAACACCTTATCAGAGAATTTTACCAAAAAAAAGAAAAGAAGAAAAAAAAAACATGATAGAGTGATTAAGATCACTCAGATTATCTTATATTTTGACACCGAAGAAAATAGGTAGGTAGCTTTTTTTTTTTATTGCCATTCAACTGTACATACAGAATGCACATATGAACGAAATTCCGTTCCACTGGCTCATAAATACTGCACTAAACTAAACACGTACCATAAAATCAGTATAAAAATATATATATAATAAAAATTGCAACAGTGTTCATTTAAAATAATATAGCACTAAACGGAATGACAGCAGCATATAAATATTAAATAATGCACATAGTAATCAGCAGCATCTAAAACAAAATTATTGCACTTATTAAGCAGCAGCATATAGTACAATTATTGCACATCGTAAAAGGTACTATTATTCCAATGCCCACATCTAGTACACATAAGACTCACTACAAAAAGATTCAGTGAAATAAAATGGTTAAGAGGTTATTTTTGAGTTCAGAAGTCTGATAGCTTGTGGAAAAAAGCTATTACAGAACCTTACTGTTCTGCACCGAATGCTGCGAAACCTTTTTCCAGAGGGCAGCAGCGTAAACAGTACATAATGAGGATGGGTAGGGTCTTTTGCAATGTTTTGAGCACGAGTCAGACAGCGTTTGTGTGCGAGTACCTGGATGGAAGGCAGTGAAGCGTTCTGCACTGGCTCATAAATACTACACTAAACTAAACACGTACCATAAAATCAGTATAAAAATATATATATAATAAAAATTGCAACAGTGTTCATTTAAAATAATATAGCACTAAACGGAATGACAGCAGCATATAAATATTAAATAATGCACATAGTAATCAGCAGCATCTAAAACAAAATTATTGCACTTATTAAGCAGCAGCATATAGTACAATTATTGCACATCGTAAAAGGTACTATTATTCCAATGCCCACATCTAGTACACATAAGACTCACTACAAAAAGACTGTCGTGTCATCCGCATACTTCACAACATGGTTTGTACTGAACCTGGCACAGCAGTCATGGGTCATCATGGTGAATAGTAATGGGCTCAAGACGCAGCCCTGAGGGGAGCCAGTGCTCAGAGAGATGATACTGGAGGTATAATTTCCAACCCTCACAAACTGAGGTCTGTCTGTTAAAAAGTCCAGTAGCCAATTACACAAGGGGGTACCAAGGCCCAAAGGTCCCAGTTTGCTTACCAAATACTGGGGGATAATCGTATTGAATGCCGAGCTAAAATTCACAAATAGCATTCGCAAGTGAGTGTTCTTCTCCTCCAGATGGGCCAGGCTCAGATGGAGTACAGAGGATATAGCGTCCTCTGTGGAGCGGTTGGGTCGGTAAGCAAACAGGAAAGGATCAAACATAGGAGGGAGTCTTGAAATGATATGGTCCTTCACCAGCCTCTCGAAGCACTTCATCATTATAGGTGTAAGTGCAACCGGACGATAATCCTTGAGGTCAATGGTGTAGAGACAATTTTCACTCAGAAATTGCTAGTAAATTTTACAATTAATTATAAAGAAACAGCTAGCAAAACACTGAATTACACGAATGTAAAAAAAAATAGAAAAACGATATATATATATATGTGTGTGTGTGTGTGTGTGTGTGTGTGTGTGTGTGTTTTCTTTTTTTTTACCATGTATGCTGTATATAGAATGCTAACAATACTATTATAATGATTGTGCTCTTCTTGAAGCAAAAAAAGAAGTAAACAAGACTAAAGCCTGGTAAATATAAGCACAGTATCTGGGTCCACATATTGCTATGCGGCCTTAAAGGCCAAGCATATGCAGTGTTTGTCAGTTTATTTTTTTTATTTTATTTTTTTTATGAAGCTGACTCTCATATACCAATATGGAAAGTCATCATTACTAAACTTGTTCCTAGCTCAGTTATCTAAGTTACACTTTTTAAATTGCTGGTTGTTTATATTGAGACAAATACATAAACTGTGTATAAAATTACTATTCTGAATAACCAGTTTTACTGAAGGGCATAAATGTGCAGTGCATGTCTCCACACTGCTATTGATTTCATTAGCTTTATGAGGGAGTCAGCAGAAGTCAGGCTTGATTGC